AGATAGATGTTGAACTCCTGGAGTTGAGACTTATCCGCGACTCTGCACTTAACCGTAGCAGGAAAGTAGAGCACCACATTACGGAACGAAGGCGGTTGTTAAATGAACTTTTTTATCTATTGGATTCGAGGCCGAAGAAACACAAGTATTTAACGTTTCCACGGGACATAAAAATTAAAAATTCCTCCACACCCCAGATTGACCACCTTTAAGATGTGCTGGGAGACCTACCATCGTCAGTCATGCCTAATGGACTATCATGGCTTCATTATTTTCTACACGGGTTCACAGCCCTATGCAATTCTGATAGCGCTTCAACAAGGATCGAGCCATAATGAAAATAGCAACTATTAACAACAAGTTTCAAAAAATTTAAAATTTGATTAAACGCAGGACTTCCTTCAACCATGAGAAAATTCGTAATTTTATGACACTGATGAAAGTCACTTGGGTAGCTCTGACTAACTGACCTCCCGATTCTTATTTACGCCATTTCATTAATGAGGACTTCCAAGGGACCGTTGAAATCCACCGCTAGGAGGAATAATGCCGATGCAACAAAACGTGACCATTTCAGGAATCCTTTGGTTGGGCAATGTCGAAAAAAATGCGTGTATCAATTGTCATAGAACTTACATTGAATCCCTCAGTTACCATCTGACAGTCAAGAGCAAATCCAGCAGTCCTCTCTCTAAATTCAATTCCAGTGACATGGCGTTGCAGTGCCTCTTGCATAACATCATACAATGGCATCACACGGTCGGCCGGTGGGTTAGCCATATTCACGGAATCCCGCTCATCTGGCCAGCCTGGAGCGGTATCAGTGATGAACCAGCGGAAAACGGGGCGCGAAAGTATTGATTTCTTTCCGCCTCCGAGACCAGGTGCTAGGCCTTCGCTAGCCGTCACTTCATCCTCGAAACAACAAATAGAGTAGAGCCAGAACCAGACAGCATCGCGCGCATTGTACCGCGGCGGGACGCATTGCCCATCGCCCATAAGGTTGGGGATGAGACCATGGCGCAATAAAGAGGCGAACTGAAGAATTGAGTTGGCTGCTTCCTGTAAAGCGAAAAGTAATTTCATGAGCATGGATAGAAAACTTTAAACTGCTTGATTATCAATCTTAGCAAAGATAGAGTTGAATGCTGTAAAATTAATTCAAAAAACAGCCTACATCTCGAAGGGCGAAGTAAAGATACACGATTTCACCTTCTTTAAGACCAAAATGCATTCGTCCAGTTAAATCAATTTTGAATGGTGTTTATCAGTGACAGAGCTCTGATGAAATAGTGACAGCAATCATAATGCCATGCAAATTTGACTGCAATTCGATAATTTTGTATAGTGACAACAATTTTGACTATGTACCCACCTTTATCAAACTTTGATTTCCATGTTCATCTGACACCAGTTCTAAAAAGTCGGGAAAATCTAGGCACGACATTTGTCGCGGCGTCGACTAGTTTACTCCTATGTGTTGCCTGGGTACTACAATCAGACTTCAAGACAAATTTTGCCGCAAAAGGTTCGATAGTTGGAAATTCACAAAATTAAGTCCCTTCCGATTTAAATGTCACAAAAAACAAATGGTCTCCACAGCACGGGTAATATATTTGCTTTCGCAAGACTCGATTGTTTCCTATTACTAAGAGGTTTTGTATTTAGGCGGCTTTTTACAAAAAAACTTGCTGAAACCACGGCGAGGAATGTAACCACTTTTATACCACTCAAGTTGGCGAATGATCGAGAATTTGATCAAATTATAGTAGCAGCGTCTGTGACTTTTCCATCTATTAAAATACCATGATAAACGCAACACTGAAACGACAGATGAGCACTAATTAAACGAAGTAGTTCGAAAATAAGTGAACTTTACAGTGTGTGGGAAGTAACGTCGATTAGGAAAATACTTAACCATAGATTACATTATTGTTGTTTCAGACAAAGTAATAGATCGAAGTTCGATCAAAATAAACTTTGCACAAACAAATCCAGAAATTCAACCGATAAGGAGTTCAGTTTTACACCGTATTCAAGGCTCCAAACCAATAACAGACAGCTAAAAAGAACAAGTAATGATAATGGCAAATCCAGACTATCATATTCCCCAAATCGACAATGCCGATTTCGATTTATCTAGATACAAAG